AAAAGGTAAACAACTTTTCTGTCCAGATGTTCACTTTTTGAAATATGGCAACCCTAAGCCTAACCTACCTCATAGGGGCATTATGGGTATTCCGTGAAGAGCTACATAGCCACCTTGAGTTCCTTGGAGGAAAAGGTGGGCTATAAATGAAATAAATAAATGCTCTGATTCGGACCAAGGCAACTTCCTACATTTGTCATAATAAATAACAAGCTAAAAAAATCTTTTTTAAATAATTTGTTATTAATTTTTAATAATTCAGTTATTATTCAATCAATTCCTACATTTGATTCTTCCTGATGTTTTCATAACAGGATGCCCAGAGCCTCAACACATTCTTTATCAGAGTTAGAGGTATAAAAGGAACTGAGCAAAGCAGAGCACTGGCTTCCTACTTGAAGTGCCAACCTTTTGTAACGCAGCCCAATCTTTGCCTTTTTCTTTCACCTTTTCTTATGCAAGAGCCTCACAGTTGCTGGCTCGTGTTCAGGTTGTGGTTAAAAGAAACTCAGTGCTGCTGCCTCGCCAGGTTTCTCTCCTTTTGTAGTTAAGTACCTGATTTGTCTTTGCAAAAGTTTATCTTAATGTGCTAATCCTTAAAAGTTTTATCGAAATCATTCTGAGTTTCAACTGAATCCTCCCAATGTTCTCACTGCTGCATAGCTCTGTAACAATTTCCAGAGGGGGTAGCCGGGTTGCTGTGTAGTCCAACAGAAACAACAAAGAGTCTTGTGGCACCTTAAAAACAAACACATTCCTTATGGTAAAAAAGCATTTTGTGGACTACAGTTAGCCTGACTTAATTTCTGAAACTATGTTAGGTAATTTGATGGAAAGCGTCAAAAGTACTAGAGCCAGGTAGGCAGATATTTGCAGAATGCTCACGAGTCAGTGCACTGTACAAGCTAGCATTTTCAGCTGAGGACTGCACTGCTAGGCCCCTTGGCAAGACCAGGGCTGGCCCTACCATTAGGCAAAACGAGATGAATGCCTTAGGTGGCGGATGATGGGGGGTAGTAGGGGAAGCACATTGGCTGTTTCTCTCCCCCCTCCCCTCTTTTGGAAGACAGAATTAAATTTGTTGTACAGCCTATCCTGTCCACCCCGGAACCAGCCTGCTGCCCCAGGATGCTATTCCACCATCAGAGTGGAAGGCAAATTCAATTTTCACTCTAGCAGGGGCGTTCCCAGAAGTTGGTGAAGTTGGCCCAAGAGGGTGTAAAAATTGTGAAGAGAGAGAGACAGTGATTGCCAGGGGCACAAGGATATGGGACAGGGATACAGCTCCTTGCCAAGGGTACAAGAGAGCCTAGGTACACCTTTGCACTGCGGTCAGCTTCTGTACCTGGAATAGGCAGGAGACACCATCTTGTCTTTCGTCTCAGATAGAAAAATGTCTTGGGCTGGCCCTGATCAAGACATTTTCCCATCTGCAATATGAACAGATCTGATCTATCTTTCACACTCTAGATTACTGGCATAGTGTGTGTGAAACATTTTGGACACTCTAAATTTCTATATTAATGCATCAGCTTTCCCTATTATTATCATGTTATTATTTACAGAATTCATAGCAGAATTCACATTAACAATTTCCCGTCTGCCTTTTGCTCCATCTATGTGTGCATCCATTGAGCAGCAGAGCCATCTAGTCACAGCGGGAGTAAGACGGGGATGGGGGGATATATGTTCACTGGATGCACATCTGTCCAACACCCAAACCTTTATGTGGATTCGGCCCATGAGGTCTCAAAGTGAGCAATGCCCGTGCCAAAACCCTTGAATTCTCAGGTGAAACCACAAGTATCAAAAGCTGTTTATTATGAAACAGAAGACTACAGAGGTGCATGCTAGCATTCAGAAAAATAAACAGAAAAATATGTATTCACTTTTACCATGGTTGGTAGTTACGGGTTGTTGTTTTTTTAAAAAAAATGTCATTATTTATTTGAACTTTAACTGATCGATCCACCGGGCAAATTATTTATTCCAGTTTTAAACCCCTGCCCTTCCTTCAAGGAACTTAGGGTGGCAGCGTGTGGTTCACACCCCACACCCCTGCCACACTTTATCTTCACAACTACAAGCCTGTAAAGTAGATTAGACTAAGAGATAACGCCTGTGCAGGAGAGAAAACTTGGGTAATGTAAACATGTAAGGGGAAATACTGGCCGAAGCTGCTGTTGAGCTGCCCCCCTGACAGCAGTGTCACTGCCCCTTACCTGGATGGTGGGGGGAGGTGCAGGGTAGGTGGGGCGCTGTGGTTGGGGCTGCACAAGAAATCAATCCTCACTGTGTCCTGCCCCAAGTGGCAGCCACACTGCTGTTGGGGAGGTGGCTTTGCAGCCCCTTCATGGCAGCTTATTCTGTGTACTTGGCCTGGCTCTCTCTAATATTTTATTGGGGGAGGGGCAAAGGTACCTCGACCCCTAGGAGTTGGCTCCTATGCTTCCTCAGTCACCATTACCAAGTTGGAAGGCAAATGAAATGATGGTGGAGGGGAGTGAAGCCAGCACCCTTGCCTCTGCTGCTCCTCTTCACATGGTCACATTCACCCTACATCTGCAGATGTGGTTTGCAGCTGATTTCTCCATAGGCATCAAGTGGCAGCTTCTCTTTTCTCTCAATTGGCAGCTTGAGGGCTCACAGACTTTGGCCCAATATATAGCAAGACAAGGCAATCTCTGGCAGGGGTGGGGAATCTCAGAGCTCTCCATCTGGCCCTTGGAACTCTCTCCAGGCCAAACTCTCAGTGCCCCCTCCCCGTATTTTTACCCAGCTGGAATGTGTCCTTGGAGATGTGGGGGGAAGAGGTGTTCTGCTCTCCATTCCCTCCTGTTCTAAAAATAATATATATATACAAATAAGGATGACATGCGATTAAGCAGTTGTTAAATGTCGCCCCCTACCTTTTTGTGCCACGTCTCTCCATCTCTGTAAAGCTCTCCCCAGGACAGTATGTCTGGCTCTGACACCTTTTCAGCTCCAGGCTAAGGACTTTTGAATGCACCCAAGTATTTGAATGTTCATAGTTGTTCCTTGCTTGCTTTTTAGATGTTTTTAGTTGCTTGCTGTTTTGTGGTGATTGCTTCTGATAATTTCATGGTGGGAAATATTTACTTGGGGGATGTTCAGTGTGGTCACTTTTCATGTGCATCTTTAATATTTACTTGTTTGCTATGCAATTCACCTTGAGACCTTTGGATGTAAGATGAATCGTGAATAAAGTAATAATAAGAAGAAATCGGGTAAATAATGCTTTCCAGTTTGCTTGGGCGGAGAATAGAGAGGGTGTGTGTGAGAGAGGGTGTAGAAAAGTAGTCTACTGTACAAAGGTAAACTTTACATTTGTTGCCCGGCCTACTTTTGCCTCTTGCCCCACCCATCTCTGCCATGTGGTTGCCCAGAAGGTTGCCCAGAAGAGAATGTGGCCCTCAAGCTGAAATAGGTTCCCTACCCCTGGACTAAAGGGAAGTTTAAAGCTAACACTATCTATCTGCATTCTGATTAATGACTGTAAACTTCAACAAGCCTTTCAGGCCAACAATCTCATTTCTTAATGCTTAAGAATGGCAGCAGACATGCAGGTATTTCTCAAACCCTCAACAGGGATTTGAAGCACATTAAAGGTGTTTGAGTGTCATAAATGTAGGTACAAATAATGCTAATAAAAATACATTTTGTAAACAAACCCATCCATTCCCCCCCCAGGCTATTTCATTACCATGATGGGAACTGATAATTTTTAAAGGTTTCAGAAACCCAAATAGCTCTGGTTATCCTACAGCACCTACCGAATAGTCAAGGCCTCATAAGGAACACCATCTAGAGCCCAGACTCCTATATGAGGCAGGAGCACCCATTGACCAGCAAGCCCGTCCTCCACTCCGTCCATCTACCCAGAACAGACAAGTCCTAGCTATCTAATGATTAAAGAGCAGGGCTTTAATGACATATGGGGCAATTTGTCTATTAATTAAAATATTCCTAAACTGCCTTATATCTGTTGATATTAGAGCAGGATACAGCAATAACGTAACTAATGAACCCTGTACCTGTATGTGTGAATATGGAAAAGCTAAGGCTGTATATACATGTGTACCTAGAAGGATCCATGGAGCCCGTTTGCAAGATTCTTTGTTTACATGAGGACGCATACGAACAGGTTGTAAGTAACTGGCCAGATGATGGTGATGTGTATCCGAGCCTTGAGCTATCGGATTGCAGAGCTGTGCATGCATTTGTGTGGTCATTTGCAACCGTGTCAGTAGGTGCTGCAGTTGTGTTTCGGCCACACACAGTGATGCAGCTGCATGCCCGGGCTGGAAAGTCCGGTGGATAGTTAGCAAAAAATATACATGGAGTGAGTCTGCACCTTATAAATAATCTATGCAAATAGTGTTTGTGACTCCTGGGTGTTGCGCCTGTTTTGTGCGAACGTGTTGTGCGCCCATTTCTCCTGATACGCACCCTGCTGTGTGCATGGCGATGCGCGCCTGTGCGCGTGTTCTCAGCGTTGGGCTGTGCACGTGTGGGCGTGCATGCAGCGTTGGAGCCGTTACTTCTGCAAAGGAGGTGGGCGCGCAAGTGTGGCCGGGGTTGCACGGGATGGCTGTGCACGTCTCTGCAGATGCGTGCGTGTGTGCGCGAGGGTGCATGTCTCAGGGTGTGCGGTTGGCACACGCTTCCCAGCCCGTCCTTTTCCCGCCTGCCCGCCCGAGGGCTCCTGCACGGGCGTGTCGGGACTCGGGCTTGAGGCGCTGGCTCGGCGGTTGCTCGCTGCGCGTGGAGAGCTCTTTGCTGCTTTCCCGTCCCGTCCAGGCCGAGAAGAATCCGCCTCCGCCGTGGTCGCCGGTCGCGGCGCGCTGCCTCGTGCGCCCTCCGCCCCGCGGCTCGGTCGCCAGCTGCCCCGGCGGGAGCAGCCGCGATGAGTGGAGGGGCGGGCTGCGGGGGCCGCACGTGCCCGCTGGGCCCGGCCTGACCCCACCCTTGCCCCCTCCCTTCCCCCCGGAGAAAGATTACCCTGCCCTGATAGAGCCGCTGCAGCCCCTGCTTGCAACTTCAGCAAGCCGGGTGGGGGGTTCAAAAGTTGCAAAGGAAAGAGGGTGTGTACATAAGACAGGGAGGCAGAGAGAGAGAGAGATCTTTGCCAGCCTCCTTCTTTTTCTTCCCAGCGCTCTCGGATGGGGGGTGGAGGAGGAGGAGGAGGACCTGCCCGCATGGAGCTCCGAGGACAACCGTGGAGCCCGTTGCTACCTTCACCGACGACGACTAACCCTCGACGCCTCTTCGAAAACCAGCTGCCCTGCTGAAGGAACGAGAAGGGTGGGGAAGAGAGAGGGAGAGAGAGAGGGCAGGCCCGAGGTGCTCGCTGCAGTTTGGGCTTGCAAATCTTTGCAACGAGCTGTCGAAAAAACAAAAACACCTCCCTCTCCAATCCAAGGCGATCAATGAGGTCCTAAAAGAGCAGGGGAAAGTGACAGGAGTAGAGAGAAAGAGCGCAAATCGACAGCAGCAGCAGCAAGCAGCGAAGAGACAACCTACCCCCATCCCCACCCTACTAGCCCTTAAACAAGAAGAACCAGCTGGTAGACAGACTAAAACTTCCAGCAGCCAGGATGGGACAAACTCTGCTTCTTTGGCTCTGCCCCCTGCTTCTCCTCAGTCTCTGGGGCCAAAGGTAAGACCGTCTCCTTTTGGTTTTCTCGGGCTTCCCCGCTTTCCAAACCCTCTCCACTCGCTGGCGAGGCCTTTACCACGCAGCCCGCAATTGACAGCCTTCCCCCGCTCCAATGCCCCCCGCATACGCACCATGCTAAGAGGAGATTAATTACATATCCCCTCCTAATGCAGCCCCTCGAAACCCCCAAGGGCTTGGAGGAGATGTCACTTGGGAGCCGTTTCTATAATTACAACTCTCCCAGGAATGCAGTGTCGAAGCAGATTTGTCTCTTTTACGAGTGGTTCTAGTCATCAGGATTATTTCACGCCTCCTCTCTCCCCCACCCCCCAGCACCTTATAATCCGGGCTGTCATCTCCCTCTACAGACATATTCTCTCACCCCATCCGTAATGGTGAAATTCTTGCCAATGGGCATTTGCTTTGACATGAAAACATTTTGGGGGAGAGCCTCCATTCCTCTGTCACTTTTTGAGTTCTGGGTTAGGGGTCTGTGCCTCTTCTCCTGGAAGTGGTGCTAGAGAAACTGAGGGATCGGGCTCCTGGATGTCTGCTGTCATTTACCAGTCACAATTCCCGCTTTGGAGCCGGGAATTTAAGAGTCCCAGTGCCATGTATAGAGCAAAATCCATTGGTTTTATCCTCTGGGTAGGATTGACACTATCTACGACTAGAACAAAACACCAGTTTGCTTGAGGCAATGGGTAGCTCTTTTCGGTCGCGCTGAATTCATTCATTTGAGACTCTCAGAAATTTGGCAGTCTTTTCTCTGAGAGGGCCTTACTCATTTTCCAGCACAGGATCCTTCTGGTGTGCAGGAGCAGGTGAAAATCTCATTCCCAAAAGTCAGTTGTACTACACTTAGCTAAGCATTAATAAAGAGTGTTGCATAGGATATAAACCCAGTAATCTGTCCTGCTCTGTGTTATCATAGGTTGTGTTCTATTACGATGGTATTAGGGACCTCACTTTTTTCTCTTCTTTCTTGAAGGGTGCATTGGATCCTTCTGTAGTCCCAAGATTTCAGCTGAATGGCTTTTGGTTTCATTGCAGCTACCCAATTTAGCAATTTTATGTGGGAGTGCTGCAGATCCAACCAACCCCCCCCCCCCAATTATCTGACTGGAGTTTAAGCACATGGTTTGAGTTCTAAGTTTGGGCGTGAGAAATTTTGTTCAAATCCCCGGCTTAGTCATGAAGATCACTGGGTGGCTTTGAGTTTCTATCCCATCTCGCTGTCCCTTTAACCTTCTGTATAGGTTTATATTGATGATCAACTGGGATTGCCCGTGTTGAGATTTTTGGAAATGGGAAAATGCGTATGTGGGAATAGAAAGTGAATAAATAATTACCCACAAGGAGCAGCATTAGTACTGAAAATGTGTTAACCCAAAATAGGTTTAACAGTGAAGTTGTCAGCAGAAAATGAACATCCATTCATAGAAGAAGAGGAAACTTGGAGGATATAATCACCAATATCTATTCTAGCAATGAGAAGGAAGCAGCGTTCAAAGCATGTGGGATGGGTGATCATTACCTTTCCAGTTTAGGGAGAGAATTTGGGGTCTAGTGGAGAAACTGGATTCCTGTGTTCGCTTCTGGAGTCCTGGCTGTTGTATCATTCTGTGGGATTAGCAGCCACATTGTTCCTCTTTGTGAATCATTTAAACAGAGAAGAAAAATGTTTACGTACTTTGTGTTTCTCAAAGACCCCGTGGGATTGGAAGCATTTTCTCATATATACACATGCCTATATAAAAGGGTGGGGGGAGGTGATGATTTCATTAATTAATCAATCAATCAGCATCATGTTTGGAAAAGGCTTGGGGATGCTTGGATGAAAGGCATGCGCCAAGGCATGCAGAAGGCTGCTCTCATTAGGGAGAAATGCCGCGCTGTTCTGAGCTGCCTTGTTATGAAAGACACACAATGTCTTAATCGTTTTCTTCGAAGGGCAGGTCCCTTCCTTGAGGGCTAGAGCCTGATCCGTGCCAAAGAGCAGAAACGCCTCCCCTCTGAGTTTGGGGCCTGGTTGTTTTGGGGCTCAGAGTGAGCCTTGCATTTGGCACAGACTCTGACACCAGCTCTTCCTGGGAGCCCTTGGGCCAGTCCCTTCCCTCTTGGTAAATAATATGCAAGGTAACTGTCTCTCTCAGGCTCCTGTACATGGGTGCAAGGAAGGAGTCATCTCTTGGAATGGGGTTTGGGGGAAGTGAGCGCTTCCTAACACCCCGAGCCACACATCCCTCTGCACATGAGCAATCTTGCAAATTCTGCTGTCAGCTGAGAGTCAGGCAATGGATACTAGATTTCTGGTTGTGATGTTAGATTTCAAAAGGAAATACTACTCCTGATCAAGAGGTTTTGGTTAGAAGGGGCACAGACACAAAGTAGAAACAGGGCATGTTTTAACAGTGCAGCGGACTGGCCTCATAACTATCAGACTGTCATGCCCAGTTAAAGCTGGTGGGGACACCTAGGATACAGTCACTTCCCTCCTGGGAGTGTGAATTGATAAGAATAAGTGCATTGCTCATTTTTGTTTAGCCATAGTCCTGCTCTCTCTTAGATATTAGATTACCATGCTACATTTGGGTGGGTGGGGGCACATAGGAGGTACAACCAGTGAAATAAGGGAATAATGAATGGATTATAGTAGCCTTTTCCAGTCTTGTGTTTGGGACCACAACTCCCATAATTCCATGTTGGCGGGGGCTTATGGATCCAATAATGACAGGAGGACAAACTTACTTTTCCTATCCGCTTTCCGGGCACTGCCTGCTCTTTAAATCTCTGTGTCCGAGCACATTTTTTTTGCTCTTGAGCTTTCCCCATGGAAACCTGCTCTTTACAGCTGAATTGGAGCAAACGGCAGTCCATGGAAAACACAAATTGACGTTTGTTGTGCATTGGTTTTAAAGAGTGGGTTTTTGCAGGGAAAGAAGAGCTCTTGGATATGGAGTGCTAAAGTTTGGGCCTGTGCCTGGAAAGCATAGGGCAAAAGGTAAGTGTGGATAAGCCCCAGGTTGAAGGGAGGCCTGCTCTGAGAACACATCCAGTCTGGGTGCTTGAAAATAGTCAAATGCACCTGATTCAGATTAAAATGTGGATAACTTTTTAAAAATTGTTACTTGCTGTCATTTGCCTTGGAAACAGGGTGAATTGTCCAGTCTTTGCCCGCTTTTTCTTTTTCCTGATAGGGTTTTTCTTCTGTGCCAGCAGAGGCGGTGAAAAGCAGAAATGCCTCAGAACTTTTCCTTGTGATGGCAGTGCTGTGTTGGGAATTCACCTGCTGCATTTCTGCCTTTTGCCACACAGGTGTTGAAGGTAGAAAATAATTTGGCATCTCTGCCAGCCGTTACAGTCTGCAGCCCAGAGGCAATGATCAAGGCTTGGGAGTCTACATGTTGCTAGAGCTTGGAAGGGAGGTGGTGGTGGGGAAGACCTTCTCCTAAACACCTCGAGGCTCTAGCATCCGGGTAGGAGAATCTATTGTCTTGGATGAGTGCAGGTGGTCAAATCACATGTTCTCAAACAAACTTCTGATTTTTTTTGTGATGATTTAGGAACATTTCCCATTTATTTTGAATTGTGGGGAAGCTACGACACCTGTTTGAACTTTAGGTCACCTCAAGAAGTGGAAGACTCAGGCTTGTCTGTGCATAATTAGCCTGGAAAAGAGGAGACTGAGAGGAGATAGGATAGCCATCTTCCAGTATCTTCTTGTTTTAGCTGAGATTCCTGCATTGCAGGGGGTTGGACTAGATGATCCTCAGGGATCCCTTCCAACTCCACGATTCTATGATTCTGTACCTTTAAAGCACATTGGAAACACATTTCCCACCCTTTAGGATTTTGGGCACTGTAGTTTATCTCTCCGGTAATCCTTAAGAAACTACAGTGCCCAAATTTCCTTGTGGGAGGAAATGTCATTTGAATGTACTTGAAGCGCGTAATGTGCACTCAGCCTCCTATTTCTTAAGGTTACCTCAGTTCAAACAGGTATTACGGCTCCCTCTCTCCTTCCCCCATTTTGGGATAAATGGGAAATGTTCCTCATTTCATCATTGTGTGCTACTATCTGCCTCCTGATTGAATCTCCCCCCATCACAAAACATTTGTGTTGAGAGTCTGGGAAAGGGTTAATAATTATATATACTTCCTTCCCCCTCCCGTCTCCATTTTGCTTTGTTTTGTTTGTAATAGTTATTTTTGGGTTAGTTTTTTTCTCTCCACCCCCTGCTGCCACCCCTCCAAAAAATATAATTTATTACCGTTGGAACTTGTATTAATTAAAGCAGTAGCAACCACAGCCTGTGACCTGCGGGCCTCTCACTGTGAAATCGTGTTTCAACTCATTTAGTGCTATAGAGTGAGAGGGTGGGGGGAGCACAGGTCAATCAGATTCAAAGAGCAGACATGGTAAACTGCCCTTCTCGACACTTCCATCTTTCCTCTCCCCAAACTCTGTGGGTCTTTTTGCAGGGGTCCACCCCCCCATAAAAGTCCTTGTGCTTTTTGGGCCAGACAAGAACATGTGCATGTGGTGTGTTTGTGTGGTGTAATATCTATTTGGGGAGGGAGAATGAAGAGAGGGGGATTAAGGAAGTCTTGCTTCTGCGGGGGTGGGGATGATCTCCGCAGGGGCGTATGAGCGATGTCAGTGTATGTCGGTTATTTGGATGGCAGGATGTGAGGGGGAGGAAAGGACACCGGTTCGGGTGAGACTTGGATAGCACAAGAAACTTGCCTGCCAAATGGGATAAGTGAAAAAGCCTATAGTCAGTTCCTAAGACTGACAGACACTTGCTTCTCAACACTAAAACAGTGGAAGGATGCTTAAGGCTAGGGTAAGTGGGGAATGATAGTGGCAGTGGCGGATCTTGGGGTCTCAAAGTTCAGCAGTACCCCATGTGATACTAAAATTCAGCACCCCTCAACCTCTTGCCCTTCATTCTAAATCATAGTTGAGATGCCCCCTGGGGCCCGGAGGTTCTGTG